TGGGAGACCTGGACCCTAAGGGCAACTCATGTGTCATTTAACGCCCAAGACTCTGGGTACCAGGGCACAGGGGAGTGGCTCCACACCATTGCTAGGCACGATGGGCATAGCTCTGCCGGCAGAGGACAGCTGGCAACTCGGGCCTGCACCCTGTCTACTCTGCCCTGGGCACCCTTGCCCTTTGACTTTTTTTTTTTTAAACATTTATTTATTTATTTATGTGTGTGTGTGTGTGTGTGTGTGTGTGTGTGTGTGGCCAGCTCAGCCCACCAGGGGGCAGGGCTGGCTGGCATGTGGTGCTGGGGGATTGAACCACGGTCCCTGTGCTTTCCCAAGCTTGTTCCAAGTAGGTGCTTTAGACCACTGAGCCATCAGCCCCTAGAGTTCACTTTGACACCCAGGCTGGTCTTTTTTTTTTTTTAATAAATTTTATTTATTTATGTATGTGTGTGTGTGTGTGTGGCCAGCTCAGCCCACCAGGGGGCAGGGCTGGCTGGCATGTGGTGCTGGGGGATTGAACCACGGTCCCTGTGCTTTCCCAAGCTTGTTCCAAGTAGGTGCTTTAGATCACTGAGCCATCTCGCCAGCTCCCTGCCCTTTGACTTTAATGTGTCTGTTCTGTGTCATAAATTGCAACTGTGTGTGGGAACAGTTTCCCTCACCTAGCTGAGTCCTGGCCCTCTCCCCAGGGACAGCAGGAGCCTTCTGGAGCCTTCTGACCCTTCTACCCTCTGTGCGGCCCTGGGCACGGCTCCTGGGAGTAGTGGCCCCTCTGCCCTGAATGCTGATCTGACACCAACCTGCCCTGGGCCTTAGTGACCATCTCGTTCCACATAGCAGGCTTCATACACTTTTATTTCGGCAGCGCTGGGGATGGAACACAGGGCCTTGTACCTGCTGGGCAAGGGCTCTGCCGCTCTGCCGCTAAAGCCCATCCTCACCCTCAGCTTTCTGAAACCCAACAGGAAACCTCTAGTTCCTAAAAAAGAAATGCACCACAGAATCTGGGTTTGGTGACATGTAAGAAAAGGGTCCAAGTTAACTCAACAGTCACACTTGCTATACAACTGTGCAGTCCAGCGCAAGCCTGGCCTCTCAGCAAGGGACTGAGCCAGCGGCTGCAGACGTGGGTGGGCGGTCGGGCGCCCTGAAACCTGCAGCTGATTCGAGGAGTCTTCTAGCAGATGTGTTCTGGATGCAAAGGAAGCCTGCTGAGGTGGCCTGAGGGAGAGAAGCAAGGGGTATCTGCTACTGGCTCCCTGTAGGAATGAGGCTGGGCCAGGAACTCTCAGGCTGGCCAGGACCGGGTGAGACACCATCCTCCAGGGACACACGCCTAGTGCCTGGCTCAGCTTACACAGGTCTGCATTTGTAAAATTTTCCCAAGAGCAAAGCTGGCCAGCTTGACCCTGGATCAGGTAAGAGAGAGGCTCTAATTCCAGACCCGCCTCCTTGCACAAAGTTCTGTGAGGTTTACAGGACACTTTTTTATTTATGTATTTAATTTTTTGCACTACCGAGGATTGAACTCAGGACCTTGCGCTTGCCAGGCAAATGCTTATTCTACTGAGCTATCTCCCTGGCCCTACATGATGATGCTTTTACTAAAAGTGTAGCAACAGTGGCCCATGGGACATGGGCTGGAGGCAGGGGATGCTGGGCTCTGAACCAACGGAGGCCTGTAGCACTGTTCACTTCTCTAAAACCAAACAATCAAAGCACACCAAACCACACCACACCACACCCAATGAGTCATGAAAAGTTAAATTTCAAACATTTTTTTCTGTCAAAGTTTGTGTAAAACCATATATGTTAAGCCAAATTTCGGATACTTTTTTAGGTTTATTATTAGTGGCATGGAGTAAATGAGAATAGAGGCTGATGTTGAGGTTTAGGAACAGGTTTCCAAATTGTTGAAATTTGGCATGAGTGCTTTTTTGGTTTGTCTTTTTGAGACAAAGCCTTATTATTTAGCTCAGGCTGGCCTTAAGCTCACTTTGTAGCCCAGGCTAATTTTCAAACTTGCAGCGATTCTCCTGCCTCAGCTTTCTGAGTGCTGGGATCACAGGTATGTGCCACAATGTCTAGCCTGGTATGAGGTTTGTTTTTTTTTTTTTTTTTGCGGAACCGGGGATTGAACTCAGGCCCTTGCGCTTGCCAGGGAAGCGCATATTCCACTGAGCCATCTCCCGGCCCCAGTATGAGGGTTTTTAAAAAAAAGTTAAAAATATAAAATTTATAGTTTTTTTTCAAATACTAGCTTTGGAGCACAAAGGAGTGCTTGCTGCCAGGCTGGGTGATGCACGGCTCTCCAGGCTCTAGGGGCCAGTCGCAGCACCCCCACTTCCACCCCCCACCCCCACAGCCACTCAGGACTCTCCTCTGAGGTGTGATGCCCTGAGCTCCTGGGCATCTCTGCACTCGGCCGCCTACTGGCCTCGCTGCACCTGTGCTGTCACCTGGGGTGGCGTGGGGCTTGCATCTGGGCCACGCTGCGCAGGTCAACCTTGGCCAGGTGCATCAGGCTCTAAGTGCCTCAGTCTCCTCACCTTGAGCGAGGAGCAGCAGCTTCCCGGGTGGGCGGGGAATGGAGCACGGGCCACACACAGCGCTGGGCAGAGGCAGGGGGTGGGAGCTGGGGTCTGCCCTTCCGCCCACCCAGAGCTCCCCACCAAGGGAGGTCACTGCCACCAAGTGTCACCCGTCACTGGCGTGGACACGGAGTACCTGGGCAACACGCCATTCTGTGGAGGTGGGGCAGCAGTGGCTCCCCAGTGGCCTGTATCCTGCGCCCCTTGGGAAGCCCGAGTGAGGAGCCCAGGCCACCCATGCCTGGTGCCCGCCTGTGCCTGTGGTGCAGCCAAGAGGAGTGGGGCATCTGTGGTGGCTTAGGGGTGTCCCTTGAGCCTAGTCCTGCTTCAGGGCTTCAGCAGGCCTGTCTTGAGGACTGAGCTCTCCGTTGAGGAGGAGGGAGGGGACACAGATCCTAAGTCCATATTCTCAGTAGTTCTGCTCTATCTCCATGGCTTAATTTCTCTCTATGAATTTCTGAAAAACATTCATAATTAGAACTTGCATTAATTCAATGTATATAAATTATATCCTGAATCACATTTGCTTCCTCAAAAAACGAGAGATGCCTATAAAAACTTGCTCCAACTTTTCCCATTAAAGGAGGAGAGGCCGGCACTGCACGAGGGCTACGCGGGATGCCTGCCTCCCGCCCTCCGGCCGAGGCCAGCAGAGCCGGCCAGCCCGGCGCCAGGGCTGAATTTAGTTTCATGATGAGCAGTAAAATTCACATGTTCTTTATTTAGTCCATATAATACACTTTTTAAAAAGATTTTTTAAAAAATTAGATAAAAGCAATTAAATGGCAAGTGTATGAAGTTTCTCTTCATAAACAATGTCAAAACAAAAAATTTTGAATTACAAAATGTTAAAAAATATGTTGGTACTTAACATTTTACTAAAGCATAAAGTTACAGATATTTTCTAAAGAAAAATAACTGCCACTTCCCTATTTTTGCTGTTTCTATGAACTTTTTTATTCTGTACATAGGACATTTTGTACAAAATATGAAGTCTACATTTTTATTACTTATTACCATAAAACAAAGATACAATGTATGTACAATATTAAAAGGAAGCCATACTAAAGCCACACTAAAAAGACACTGGGAACTGTGACATTTCTGGGGTACAGATGCGTTTGGAAAGAGTGAAGATGCCACGCAGGACTTTACGAAGAAAAACAGTCACCGGTTTATTTTCAATGCAGTACTTCTGAGATCAGTTTGGTACAGAGTAAACAGCGTCTCTCTATCATATGGAAGTTGAACAATCGGCACAGGGAGTCGAGTACTAAGGAGGAAACTTTAATAGGCCAAAATAGTAAGTAATACTCTTGTCAAAGAAAATTAGTTTCTTTCAAAACTGTTTTTCCTTTTCCCTTATTGGTGAATGTTTGTCTTCAATAAAGAGCAGAAATGAAACCTAGACCAAAAGGTGTTCTCACAGGCGGAGCGCTTACAGCTGCCCAGCCACGCCAGCCGCCTTCCCGGGGCAGGAGGGGTCTCCCCAGAAACCTTTCTCACGACACACCAGACGTCTGGGCCGGGCTCTTGGAGAGCCTACCTACCAGCTACGACAGAAGTTCAAACAATGGTATATCAAAGTACAGAAGACGCTGCTTTGCACAATAAAAAGCACCCTTTTTCCCTCAAAAGGAGAAGGCATCTAGACATTTTTTAAATCATAGATTTCATAATGGTAAAATGGATAGCTACTTGTCAAGTTTCTCAGGAAGTGCCCTTCTCACTGAGTGGACTGCCGGGCCACTTCTGCTGGGCAACGCTCTCTTAAAGCTTGCTCTCGCTCGACACAGGAATCCCCTCCCCCGGGGGGTTCTCCCAAGACACAAGGAAACAAGAGTGTTGCTGTCGCGAGTGGACGCGCAGGAGCCCAGCAGCAGGCGCTGCGGCCGCGCAAGGAGCAATGTCTGATTTTCACAATCTTTTCATGGATACCCAAGACCATGAATAAAAAACAGATCCGAAAAGAAGCCACGTTGTATCTCTTATGCATCAAGACATTTAACATTAAGTTATATATATATACCAGAGACAAAAGAAACTAGTCACTGTTTAGAGGAGCAGTACACATCTCAAGTAGCTTTCAAGCAGGATAAATAAGTCAAAATACTGGCCACCCTGAGAGAAATAAAGAGTAGACAAAGCACTAAGTGTGAAGGGTTTCTCCTCGTGCTACTCCACCTAAAACAAAAGCTTAATCCATGCAAGAAGTCTGTGAAATACATAGCAGCATTTGAAGACTGATGACGCTCAGACACTGCGCCCCCGAGGCCGCCCCTGCGTGCTCGAGCCCAGGAAGGCTGCCCACGCCAGCCCCGGCTTCCTCCCCGCCGCCCCAGGGGCCTACAGGGCCGTCTCTGCTGCTTCCCTCCCCAGGCGTCTGGGCTCTGCGCGGAGAGGAGAGGGTCTCGCCCTGCCCTTCTACAAAATGAGGAATTCTTAAGACTATACTTTAATTATTTTAGAAGCCTTGTTGAAGGGCAACAGTGTAAGTAGGTGAAAGTTGATTCTCTGAATAAAAATACGAACACGTAATTTTACAACTCCAATTCCAGCCAAGGTAGACAGGGAAAGCTTTGTGAAACCAACCCCTTCCGGGAGCTTTACTCTTGGAATCCTGGTGCGGTGCCGCAGACCTGGAAATATGGCTTTCGGTAGATGCGAGAAGCAGGACAGGGCGCACACACCACTAATCACGGTAAGGGCTCCTCGAGGGTGCAGCGGGTGCTGATTGTCACGTCACTTCCCCAGAAGGCTGTGACAACGTGAAAGCAAAGACCCATTTCTGTGAGATTAAACAAAAACCGCAGGCATAACAATCATGTGGAAACAATTTCAAATGTTGTAAAGTCTTAAAAAATAGGCAATCCGTTTGAAAACTGTTCCTCTGATTTGAAAAACGTTGCTCTCACCCTAGAGCCGCCTATGTTAGAGGCCACACCTTCCGTGTGGGTAGAGCAGGACGGGATGGCCAGACGGGGGCTTTCCAGAACTCTGGCCTTGTGAAACTGTCTTACGTGGGCTGTGCTGGGTGCTGATGACACAGTGAGAAGCCACCATTGTTTGAACTCCTATCTGAGCGGAGGCGACACACGTTATTGCCTACAGAACGGGCTGGAGGAAGCTTGGGCTCTGACGTATGATGGTATGGCACAAACAGTATGGACTTTCTACAGAACCAGGAGAGCGCCAGCAGGCCCGGCCGCCGCGCTCAGAGGCTGCGCCCATCCTGCGAGGCCAGCTCGTCGGCTCTGCAGTGAGCTTCCAAGGCTTTCTTGGTGTGGGGGTCCTGAGGCAGCTCGGACTTGCGGCGCGCAAGAGGACGGTCCTTCTTCGGATCTTTCTGTGCCTGGAATTACAAATGCAATGGCGTTGGCTACAGACCAAGCTCTCTGAGCACCGAGCTCACTGCTGAGCCGGAAGTCAGGGGGAGCAGGAGGCCGATGGGCACCCCCACATGCTAAGGCTTTGGGGGCCCCAGCCATAGATGAGTTTCTACCTGGGCCTCCCATGAAAAACAGCTTGTCTGCTAAAATACTCTCCTGACAAGTGTGAAGCACGGAGTACGGGACAGGCACTTGGCCTCCTCGAGTGTGCGTGCTCCCAGAACTCACCCGCGTCAGTAAACCCTGCAAGTACTCTCCTATCTCTTATGATGGTACCAAAGCTACTTTACGCCATGTCTGTTACAAAGGCATTTCTGAAAGGAGAAGTTTCCTTTGGAGGGAAATAAAAACAGTAAGAATGTGCTTAAACCAGATTTAAAAATACTTAAAACTGGTAAGAGATGTGAAACTTCTACTGAAATTTCAGAAGGATTATTTAAAATAAAAATCATTAAATGGGTCAAGTCAGTGGAGAAAACCACCTAGCATTGAGAAAAACTGCATTTAATTACTTACATAGAAATTCCAGATATTAAGGGAAGAAACAAAAGACTCCCCCATTCCATTCAATTTGTGAAGTTTAGCAAACTCCGGCTTACTTACAGTGGACCCTTGACTGCCAGCGCGGTGCGCCCTGAGCGAGGCCCTAACCCGGGGCCACCTCAAGGCCCAGGCTCCTCCCACAGCCTCCGAAACCCTCTCTCCTGTCCACAGGCAGATCTCATGTCCTTAGGAGACACTGGCCCAGGACTTCTGAATTGACCCCATGCAGGAAGGCTGCTGTAGTGCTCAACCCAGAACTCTTTAGGAGTCAGACCCATATCTGAGGCCGTCTGAAAACACAATGGCTGGCATTTGGGTCATGGCGCAGGACTAGGCCGTAACCTAAGTTGTTCGTATTCCAGACTGGATGTAACTTAGGGTCTGCTGTATTTTCATTAAGTAATTCCACTTCTGCAGGTGGACTGAGATAACTGCATCTGCAATGCAAAGGGAGCCTGCCATCCATTTTCACGAGCAAACAGGAGATTTGGCTTTATAGGGAGCTACTGCATTAACATCACTTCTGTTTTTTATTTATTTTTTGTCCTTTTGAGACAGGGTCTCACTATACAGGTGAGGCTGGCCTTGAGCTCACTTTGTAGCCCAGGCTGGTCTTGAATTCACAGTAACCCTCCTGCCTCAGCCTCCTGAGTGCTGGGATTACAGGCTCCCATGCAAAGGCAGGGTTTTGCTTTCTTCTCCTAGCAGCCACCTCCGAGATGGTGAGGGCCATGAGGTCCCGCGAACTGTCTGTCACCGGTCACTGTACTGCTAAGAGCACCACAGCTTCTAAAGCAGGTTGGTCTTCAACCCATTAGAAACGCAGAGATGAAATTCTACCCTGAATTTTACTCCCACTATATGTTGATCTGTCAAATGAAACAAAACAAACCCAGGATTTTTATGTCTATGAAATACATAATGACCACTGAATGAGGCCCTATAAAGAGAATAGGCATCTTCATGGTGAAAGGCAGTAATCAAACGCTTGGCGTGGGCCCTGGCAGAGACAAGGGAGAAAACCAACTTGGCCCAGACCGTGGGGAAGGCCAGAAAGCGGAGGCACACATCCCGGCACTTCTAGTCGGCATGGGGTGGAGAGTAATTCCAGACCACACGAGGACACAGGAGGACACAGGAGGGGGGAGATGAGGCTCCACACAGACGGTCGGCCCGAGGGGAAGCGGGCAGGGCATGCACCGAGGCTCGAGTGGCCCCTGGAGGACAGGCGCGGGGTGGCCTGGGCCCACGGCCAGCCAGGGCAATGGCAGGGGCCCCAGGGCCAGGCCACGGCAACCAGGAGTGCCATCTCCTCATGACTCACACAGAACTGCTTACTTGGGGCAGCACAGACCCCCATTTCTGGAGGGGCCACATTTCCTTCCCTTTGTCCCAACCATCACACACCGAACGACATGGAGAAAGGGAAAATACTTCATGTGCACAGTGCTACTGTCAATCCCTCGCATCCACACAAGCCTTACGTACGCTCTGCGCGTGTGGGAGTGAGTACCTGCGCTGCCCACCTTCGCTCCTACACCTTCCTCACTTGCGTGGTCGACATTGCTTTCCTCCCGACCAACTGTTAAAAATGAGAATTGTAAACATTTTAAATGTCTCTGATGTCAGTATCATTCATATCAAACTTACACTGTTTTCTTTGGATGTTTCTCAGGAAATCTGAGCAGTGGCTCTGATTTATGGTAAACCCACTGAATTCTCCAAGGAAACTGACCCGAGCAGCTTCCCTGGCTTCTGGCCACCCGCCCCCTTCTCCTGTGGTTCCATCACTCCCCTCATATCCTGTCTTTACCCACATTCAAACCCATTTAAAAAATGTGCAATTGTTTTAGGAGAATAAAGCTGAAAATAAATTTGAAAATATTCAAATTACTAAATATAAAAATCTAACAGTTTGATTTTTAGGTGTAACATGTCAGCTTAGCTACCAAACTGTGGACATACATTTTCCCTGCAGCTTGGAATCATTCTTTTGTTGTAACAGCATTGTTTCTGAGATGTTCAGAAAGAGGGTTCCAATTTCAAATCAGAGAGTATACCAATCGAATATTACACTTAAGAATTCACACTTTATAGCATCTTCAGCTATATATGCTGAAATATACTGAATTTAATTCATCAATGAATTCAACTAACCCATGGAAATTTCTGAGCACTGACACTGGATCATGTCAATTCTCCAATTCTTTTCTCAGTCATTTTTGCTACTCTAGGTCTGGATTTCTGTAAGAACTTGAGAATCAGCTGCCACTTCCTTCCTCCCTTCCTCTTTCTTTTTTTCTTGTTTTGAAGATAGAAGACAGGGTCTTACTATGTAGTTCAGGCTGGCCTTAAACTCATAGCGATCCTTCTATCTCAGCCTCCTGAGTGCTGGGATGACAGGCCTGGCCAGTTTGCAATGAGAGACAGACAGAGAGAGAGAGAGAGAGAGAGAGAGAGAGAGAGAGAG